GATGGATATTTCTCATATCTATGGAGGACCTAGGTTGAAGTTGCACTGGGTAGGGATTAGGCGAGAAGTTGTAAATGGGGGAGTTTGGCTTTAAACTAGTACTACTCATAGTGGATTTCCTTCCTGGCTTGGTAGCCTACAATGTAGGTGAGTTAGCATCAAATTGGGTTAACATATCATTGTTCTATTTATCATTCTATATTTTAAGTTTTTGTTTTTTTTATGACTTAAAGAATTTGTTTAGGATGTCAGATCCGATGTTGCAACATTTTTCTTGACATTATTCTGATGTTGAGATATTAGTATTTCCATGCGTTTCCTGTACTTGGAGAATTTCAATTGGTATCAGAGCAGGCACCCTGGTCCAATGGGTGAGCTTCAGGGAGTAATTTTTCTGGTACTATTGTTCCTTATGGAAGACTGGAATGATCATTTTCTGGTTATCAATGGACAATAGAGTTTGAAGAATTATCAGGATGGGAGAATCTTGGTTGTCAAGAGATTGAAGAATAAGAGCATGAATTATCTCTATGTAACTTTGAAGTTTTTAATTTCATAATCAATTAAATTGATAAGTTTCTTTTTCTGACTTATTATCACTTGTGACCAAATATATCTTAGCGGTTTTGAAGAAGAAACTCAGGTCTCTAGTTAAGAGATTTGACATGGAAGTTACAACAATTGAAGAAGGACAAGAACATTGCTTTTATTTCCAACTCTGAAGTAGCTTGTTTCAGATTTTTGATGAATGGTGTCTTATTATGTTTCCTTAGAAGGCATCCTATCAGGTGTTGGAGAAATTAGTCAGTATGTTGTGATCATGTGTCATAACATCTATCATGACTTCAACAAGTCTTTGATGCTAAAAGAAAGGCTGGAATTGGTGTATTGATCAATGTATAAGCATTCTTGGGAATGTGAAAATATTGGATATTTTGTGGAGCAGGATGTCTTACTTATCTCATTAGCAACTGTGAGTGTTGTCTATTTTTGGTTTGACTGGAATATGGACTTCTTATGAAGATTTATGAACTAAAGAATTATCTCATAATGAGCTGGAAGTTTGTTTCTATTATTTAGAACGAAGGGAGTTTTCCACTTGGAAGAAATAGGAAGTGATTTAGTTTTGATCTTATGTCTTACGAGAATGAAGAAGTATCTACTATCTATATTTTTTCAAGATGAAGTAACTCTATTTAATCCTAGAGTTTGATTTCTTGATCGAGTTTGTTAGGATAATTTAGATCAGTTGGAGGAGTTTCTGCAAGAGGAAAGATGATTGGAAGTTTAAGGAGGATATGTTTTATTCTAAGCTAATCAATAAAGAGAAGACTCAAGGTGACAAAAAGTTGTTGTTATCAAAAGGCAAGTTGATTCAAGTATGTGATAACGTTATGTTGGACATTCTGCTTACTCTTGCTAAAAGAGATTTACTTGCACTGAAGATACCTCTTAAGTGTTGAGTTGATTTTAACAGTTTTTGGTTATTTTCTCGAAGGTCAGGTTTAGTGTTACTTAACCAAGTAGTGTTAAATACTTAGGAAAGATGTTAGTTGGCTTATTTTTCATACCTTTCTTAGGTATCCAACTAAGATGATTGGTATTTTGACACTAACTACTCTAGACACTTAACTTCAACAAAAGTGTTCCCGATAGTTTGTTTAAGTCTCATTTTGATCAGTGTTACATTGTGGATGATACTAAAAGATAAGTTTTGAGGATGTTGGATAACTAAATTCAGGATGGATTCTATAAGTTTTTGGTAATTGGTTTTACTTAACGATTAATTTTCTTGTGTCATCAAGGAAGAATGGTATGTCTCTTATGAGATGTTTGAAGTCCCTCGATGGATTTATGAACTATTTATATTTGTGAAATTCACAAGTATCCAATCATTTGTTCTCTTACTTGGTGTTCAAAGTATGAAGAAGTCAAGATATTACACTAGAAGGTGCAATATTAGTCATTTACAAAAGCTCGAGAGACTATTTTATGGATCTGGTTGGTTCAATGCAAAGTGAAGGTCCTGATGGATACAAAGGTATATATGATTTTTTTGTCAAAGTGAATCTATTATCTTTGAAGTACTAAAAGGTCCTATCTATTCCTTGAATAAGGGCAAGGTATTTTTCTGAGTTATATTATTGAGAGAAGTGCTTTTAGTGATGAGTAACTTCAGAATCAGTATCAGTGATATGTTCATTGAGAAAAGTATTGATGTTCAACCAAATGATTAGGATATCGTCACAACCATTTGTTACTCCAGTATATGGTAGATTCTAAAGGGCTAGGAAGAACTCAAGGAGGAAGCTCTGAAGAAAGCAGTTTAAGATAGAGTTCATTATTTGGAGTTTGTTTTGGTTTGTGATCATCAGGTGTTTCAGAGATGGAATATTAAATGATTGAGAGTCTTGGGGTAAAAAGCTTTTTTCCAAGTCTGAAGAAGATTGTATCATTGGAGGATATTCTGATATCTAAGATTAGAATTAATTGAGTCCTAGTATGTCTTAAAGATTAGGTACATTGCTGAAGAAAGATGTTTTCTTTATTGGGATGGTTACTAAGGGTACAATCTCAAACTGGATGTCATAACATTATAGTGTGACATGCTACTGCAATAAAGGTACAAGGATTTTATTATGCTTGCAGAATAAATTCATTGTTTATGTCATCTTTGTGTTAGTAATCTTGTTGCATGTTTATATTGACACTTCTAAACTTGGTATGGTTTAGAAGATCTAGAAGTATTTTCATCATAACTTGAGGTGCAAGTTACATTGAGAATATGAGGGGTATTTTTGGAATTGCACTACTAAACAATTATTGGAATATCTGTTTGGACGGTCTGCCAACTATATTCTTTTACCTATTAGAATGTGCAATCTCAGAAGAAACATTTTTAATGGCATGGTAAATGTCATTTCAAATGTTGTAACAATTTTCAAGGAGTCATAGCTTAGAAAGAGAGAAAGATGGAGAATAACATGTATCTCTCCTATGGTGAGTGGTTCACTATTACTGATCGTGTGGCTGTAAGAGTCTATCGGGTGTATTAACTACAAGCACACAGTTTAATCGCGTAGTTTTAAAAGATATTGAACCCACAGGGTCTGGTAATCGAAATATTGTTATCTAAAGCTACTGTGAAAAGATAAGGCTAATGAATCTAGGATTTTGGGGTAGACGAAAAAAAATAATGTTAAACCTAATTGAAATATTTAAAAATGGGACACCGATATGTAATAGTCTTACTTCAGGAATTCAGTGATTCATTGGCATAGCTTTGAGTATTTAAAACACTTATTTAGTAGAAATTATCAATTTAAAAATCATTATCTCACACTCTCGTGATTGTTGATTCGGACTATATTATTAAACTTAAATGATCACTCCCATTGTTTCATTCAACATTTAAAAATACTTTTTGAAAACAAGTAGATTCTAATTAATCGTAAACCTCTCTCTCTATATTTAAAACCAATGTTTGATGACCATTATCCGATTAAAAACACACACTCTCGTGATTATTGATTTTACCCTTTTTGTTTGTTTCTTACTCTCGTATCAAAACAATTTGTATTAAAATTGGAAATTGTTGTACCCCAAAATTTCCCCTCCCATTTTTAATTCAAGATACTATCTTAGGGTTTCTCGAATACTCAATTGGGCTCATAAGTTGATCAGACAAATTCTCTTCCTAGCAGTAAGTCAACAACTAGGGTTTGGTATTTCTCAAAGAAAATTGAGTCTTCAAGGTTTCAAATGGTCTTCATTGTTCCTTATGTATTCTCAAGGATGCTTATGCCAAGTTTCAAGCCTCGCATCATAATTTTGCTCAGTTAATGGTGTAGATGATTGAAAATGAACTGCATTGACCTAAAATTCGACCAAGTCAAGAGTTGATTACGTACGAAAGATCATCAGAAAATTCGAATACTTTAGTGGTCATTTTGCAAATTTGACCTAATAACGATAAATTCTTATCCAATTTTCGAGGTTCAGAACTTCTTCCAGTTTTCAATGTTCTGAAGCGATTCTATTTGCGAAGTATCATGAATAGAATTGTCCATGAGATTATTTCAAAGATCGAAGTAAAATTATGCTCAGAGGTCCAGGGAATCTCTTGAAACATTATAGGTCATTTTGTCGATTTAGAATGTCCTTAACTTCTAACTTCAAGTCGTGCCATAATTATTTTCTTGAGACATTGACTCTTATGGTAACATCATTCATGGTACAAGATGTCGAGTTTGAGAATTCTTTGAACATTTGTTTCTTCTTCAAGTTACTTATGTCTGAGCATTTGGTAATTGTTGCACGAAAATGGATTTTGGACCAAAGTTCTTAAGGCGTCATTGTTCTATCAAGTGCTATTGGATTGAATTGCAAGTTACCATTAATTGAAGACCTGAAATTAAGGTCTCGTCGGAAATGATTTGGAGATTCCTTCGAGAAATGTCATTAGGTTCAAATTGGTTCAAATACGCTCATCATTTCTCAAGATTCATTCAAAGAGATTCTTTTGATTCAAATGAATCAAAGTGTTTATAGCTCGTGAAATTGGAAGGGATGTGTATTTGGTTTGCTCAGGATTGAAGTTACAAGACATTTGTGGGGCATGTTCATTCATTTAACATCAAGATTTCATTCAAAGATTCAATTCATTTTTGATTACCTTGCAAATATTATGGATTCCTATCATGACCATTTGAATTCATACAAAGGCACTTAAAGGAAATATTGGAGGAAAGAGCTTGGAATTTCAAAAATCAATACGGAAGAGAAAGGTATTTTGAAGAAATTATCATTGAATTCCAAAAATTACAAACAAGTTCAAGCATATTAATGATTCATTCATAATTCCACATAATTCCAAATTCACAAAAAGTTCAATTCATGGGTCAAGTTTATTAACTACAAATTCAACAAATAAAGTCCCAACATTACACTAAAACCAAAAAATAACTATCGATCCACTTTGCAACTTGATGCTGTCCATTTTACCATGTTATTGCTTTGTCTCTCTCCACCTTGTTTCCTACTACAAAAACAGCTTGCAACTTGCTGCTATGCTTGTTGCCACCAACTGCAAAAAACAGCCGAAAACATGTAAAGAAAAACATCCTGCTATAAACCAGCAAAACAGTCCAACCTTGCTGCAAAATAATAGCTTTGTTGCTGTCCCAAATCCTACAAAAACCTGCTGCAAAACCAGCATACATATTAGTCCAAAATAGTCCAACAATTACAAGTAAGAAAATGAAAAAAAACTGCAACAAAAAGCAATGAAATAGTATACAAATTTTTTCAAATTATATAGTTTTTCCCCCAAAAATCCACCCCCACTTCACTATAAAAATAAAGCAAAAAAAAACCACTGTATGGGAGATCCGAACAAGAATAAAAAATAAAAACCACTATTTTCTCAAATTCCCTCAACTCACCCTGTCAAAATATATTTACTGTGAAATCTCTCAACCTCTCTCAATCTAAAACCTACTGTAAAACTCCAAATAGTTCATCTTTTACACAAATAAAAATTATCCATATCTCCACCATCATCAATTTGTTGCTTTGATTCGATAACCAACAACAAACTCACAGATTCAAAATTCGAACAAAAGAGATGAGAAGAATATACCTGGAGTTCATTTTTTGTCATCGATTTGCATTTACTGGCTTTTCTCTTTTCACTTTTGTAACAAGTAATAGATCTTTGAGTATAATGATTGAATGCCGTTTGGGCTTCTATGGGGTGAGGGTATGTTGTTGTGTGTGTTTTCATGTTTACATCCATGGCGTCATGTTAGAAATCGAGTGGTTGGGTTGTTATTGAACAAGAAAAGAGATCCCATATAAACTCCACTATCATACTCCTCTCTTCACAACTTACTCAACAACATCACACAACACACCTTTTTCGTTCTACCCGATACACCTCCTTAAAATCATAACCTCTTTCCACCGTCACCTTCAGCTCCATTTTCTTCCGCTTTAAACCCTCTCTATCTGAGCAGCTTCATCCATAACCAAATACTCCCATCTCTGAAACCTACCTTCCACCTTTCTGTCAAAACCCACCGGACATTATCATCATCCACAGAGCAACTCCATGAAGCTCCATCATCTCCATTACAGTCCACCGTCTATCATTTTCGTCACTGTTACCCATCATCACCTTCCTCACAGTTGTTCGGCTAATCCTCTTCGCCGTAACAAGCTTTACCACCATACTTCAATAGAACAAACACAACCAACCTTATCCCTCACACGAAATCCCTTGGCATTTTTACCACTTCCGCTAATCATCATAACAACTGTTACTTCCTCACACAACAGAACCTCTGTTCAGAACTCCCTCCGTCAATTTTCGTGTAGCTCCCTTCACACTCAATTAGGGTTTTCAAACTTTTATCATTCCTCTTTTAACACAAACCATGTTTGGGCCATTCATTTCTTAAAGCCATCCGCGTAAATTCCACCTCATAACCCCAGATTTTTTTTCAAACAGACCCAGTCTGAATTCTCACATCCCTGACCCAATTATCTGTTTTTTTATTTCTTTAGTCATTAGTATTCTATTTATTTAACCATTATAAAAAAATGATAGTTAGTCTCTTTTTAATAATAAATAAAATATAAATCATGTAAGTTTTAATTAGATAAATTTTAATAATTAGTTTGAATTTAGAATTAATTTAGTGATTTTAGAATTATTTTTAATTAGTTTAGAATTATTTTAATAGTCTTGGAATTTTGATTTTGATTTAGATTTAAATTAGTAATTAGTAAATTTATTATTAATCTAGTTTAGATTTAAATTAGTATTTTTATAAATAATTTAGTTTATACTTAAATTAGTTTAGGTATTATTAATAACCTTAGAATTGATTTAGTTTATATATAATTTAGTAATTTTATAATTAGCTTAGTTTAGGTATAATTTAGCAAATTAAAATTTTAAATTAGTTTAGAATTATTTTAATAACATTATTTAGTTTAGACTTAATTTAATAATCTTTAGAATTTTTTAATTTTTAACCTTAGAATTTTAATTTAGTCTAAAATAACTTTTAGTTACATCTCTATTCATCACACTAAAAAAAATAAAAAAAAATTCTTTCTCTTTTCATTTGCTTGTATTTTACTATTTTTCACATTCTTTAGATTATTATAATTGTGTACAATTTGTAATAGTTTAATGAGGCTTTTACTCCATCCCCATTTGTAAATTTGTATCTCCCATTTCCGAAAACTCTGTAATAGCGTAGAATTTTAATTTATGCAATTTACTATTTTTCCTTATACTGTATAGTAATTAGACGTGCATGACAAGATTTAAAATCAATCGCTAGATAACCCTAATTGAGAATAAATTAACTTGAATCAAACACACTTTCACACGCGCACCTCTAGGGTAACCTCGCTTGTTGCCTCGGAAAAAACAGTCATGTCCCTCGGATATGAGACGCTTTATCAAAGACCCTTCGATAAAAAAGATTGTAGTCCCTCGATGTTGCCTTCGGTAAAACGATCTAGTCCCTTACGAAAATTTCTAAAGCGTCTCACAAGTTGCTTTCTGTGACTGTACGATTGAACCGCGTCCGTCCCTTCACATCCAACAATGGGGCTTCTTACCAAATCAATGGTAAGATAGCAACATCTAAAGGAGGAGGGAAAGAACATTAAAGACCTTTTGAGTAGGTAGGATACTCCTAGTTTCTCTCTTGTTCACAACAACTAAACATTTTTACACCAACACTTTCAATTTGAAACATTTTCAAAAGACAAAGCCTTTTGTAAGCATTCTTATAGAGACGAGAACCATTACAAATACGTTTTCAAAATACTTTCAAAACCCACACCACAAGCACATTTTCAAACAAAAGCAAGTGATCTAACAAGAAACTAAGAGCCCGTAGATAACTACGGATGAAAAGGGTGCTAACACCTTCCCTTTTCATAACCTATTCCCTGAACTCAAGAAATAATTTCGAAAGGTCTTTCCTGTACTTTTCAACCTTTCCTTATTGGATAAAAGAAAAGTTGGTGGCGACTCTTGCTATACGCAACAATTACGATCAAATGCAAAACACCTAGTCAATTCTCCCACCGCGTTATAGAAATCAAACCAGAAAAGTATTTTTATAAAATGGTTATGTCAATTTATTACCGAACTCCTTCGGTTTGTGACCTTACATACCGATATCGAGGAGGTTAGTTGGACATATTATTTGTTAAGAATACAAAACAATAACAATCATACAATAATACATGCATGATTGATAAAAAATAGTAATAAAATTAAACTAAAAGAAACCTGGAATTAAATAATGAGAATGCAATTCTTTAAGTACTTGCAGCAATCCTCCACAATATTCTGGCAGGATTCGCTTACGAAAAACCACTTGAATGCAGAACAAAATATTAAACTAAAACAAGTTCAGGAGTCTATAAAGAAAATCTAATGTTGCAATAGTTTCCCAGTGTAGAAAACTATTGCTATTTGGGTGAAGGTTCTATCTACCTAGGTTCTAAACAAAGCTCTGAATGTTAATTTGAATAATTGCGTGGAAGGAAAAATAATTGCTGATTCATGTAACAAAAGTAAAAATAGCAGATATGAGAGAAAAATTGCATAGAACAGAGAGAGCTGAAAAGAAGAAAGAGATAGAGAGAGAGAGAGAGAGAGAGAGCTTCAGTATAATTGTTTTTCTTATTTTATATCCTTATCCTCGTAACAAAACTTCTCTTTAGAAAATATAGGAACATGACATCGTGTTTCCAATGGCTTCGCTTGTGGAGAAAGAATAGGAGAAAATTTCAACTTCCAATTATGCATGTCGTTGGCGTGGAATAATTATGGATAAATCTTCACAAAAAAACAAAACATAACGCATGTTGTGGCTGTTCCGAGTGGAACCCAATGTGTGTCGTGGGGAACACATATTTTGATGTGTGTCGATAGTAATGGCTTGTGTGCTGAGGGGAACACAAAATACACCTGTGCCGGGTGAAATAGAAGGTGTGCCGAGGGCCACAGCCTTCTGATATGAAATCTTCAGTTTTTCTTCTATTTTTATGATTTTTAACTCATTTCTTTTCCATTTCTTCTCCTCTTCTCATGTAGGCCTTGGATGGAATAATTACCTGAAACATACTTGAAAAGCTAACATAATGTAACATAATTTAGATAAAACAGTAACTTTATTTATGCAAATCGGGTCGAATAAGCTATGTATTTTCGCATTATCAAACTACCATATACTTGAGCCTTTGCTTGTCCTCTAGCAAATAATCAGTAAGGAAATATTTTAAGCACATGTTAAATGCAATTACATGACACAAATCAATTTATACGTGGTTGCGTGATGTTTCCTTTAGAACGATGTAAGCTCAACATCAACAATAAAGATACATTAATAACACTAGACAACCCCTCCTTATGCATACCGGTTCCAGTCATGCTATTATCGCTCAACCTAATCATTTTTTCTTTGTTTCACCGGTTTTGTTTGAGAGCAATCACATTAAGCCCTTTATCTTATTTCACGCACATAGTAGAGTAGACGGTTAGTGATGGTCATAATAAGCATGGGGTTCTGGCACATAAATTTGGTGACCCTTAATTAATCTCATTGCAAGATGCGGGTGATCGAACCATAGTCCACCCTACCAAGTTCACCACCAGAAACCTCTGAGCCAACTTACAAATTGGGTTTTTATACATAATATGTAGGTTCCACACTGTGGGATTAAGTGACCAGATGAGGGTCACCTAACTTAATTAGCACATTCCCTGCTTTTAATTCATCATTACAAGATGTTTAGGAAATTTTTAAGACCAGTCACTTATATTCATCGACCCTCTACGTAGTTTGTTTTAAAGACGATGCTGACTCCTTATATAAACTACTCGGGGTTACTTTAAAGTTTGAGGTTTCAGTATAATAGGTTGTCATACGGTGGGAAAGAACTGACTGTTTTTGGAATGCTGGTTTGTGTTTTGCGTTTGTTTTCGCAAAATGTCGCGGTAAGCAAGAGTTGCCACCGACTTTTATTTTATCCAACAAGGAAAGGAAAAAAAGCACAGGAAAATTCCTTTTTCGAGATACTTCTCGGGTTCAGGGGGTAGGTTATAGAAAGGGAAGGTATTAGTACCCTTTCTATCCGTGGTTATCCACGGGCTCTTAGGTACTTGCTCATATTGTTTTCAAAATGGTTTTCTTTGTGCCTGTGGGTTTGAAAAAAGTCTTTGTTTGAAAACTTCGATTTAACTCTTGCTTCTGTCCTCAAGAGCGTATGAAGTGTTTTGAAAACTTTGTTCGAAAAGTGTAAGTGTGAAGAGTTTTTGTTTTTTGAAAGAGCAAGTATCTAAGAACCATCTACTACTCGAAAAAGGAATCATTCTATGCTAATTTCCTTTAGACAATGCTATCCCACTATTGATGAGTAGGTAGCACCGTCATTGGAGTTATAGGGTCAATTCGAATAAGGGACGTGCGGTCACCAAAATAATGTTAGGACGCCTTAGCGGTAACCCTAATGTCTTAGATCATTTGTTTTGAGGCAATAATATCTGAGGCAACCGTTTCGAGGCAACTATGATCTTTAGACAAGAGGATGACCTCTAAAGTGACCTATACTTAATGACCACGTACGAAGGCAACCAAGTGGGGTGTACCCTAAGAGTGCGCATGTGCGAGTGTGTCGTTTTCGGTTAATTTTATCTTTGTACATGTTAATGGTGATCTAAGTTGATTTTAGGTTAAAACATTCAGTCTTGTCATGCATACCTATTATCAAACATCTAACAGTTATATTTTGCGAAAAATAAATTACGGAAATTAAATTACAAGGCGTCGGGTATTTACATCGCCAAAAGCAACCCTTTGATCTTTAAATACGGAAAAATAAATAAAGCGATAAAAATAATTAAATGGTCCTAATTATCTATTACATTCCGAGAACAAGTAGAATATTGAATAAATAGATCGCGTGCGGAAAATTAAATCGAGTGCGAGTAGGGTTTTGACCCTTTGTTATTTAAAGAAAAGATTTTTTTTTGGTTGTTTTTGAATTAAGAAAGAAATTACCTAAGTTAATTATTAAATTAATAATTTAATTAATTAATTAATGAAAATAAATATTTTTGGGTTTTTTGGTATTTAAAGAAATAAAATAAAATAAATTAATGTTAGTAAAAACCTAATTAAGTCTAATTAGTTTTAA